TTTCTTTAAACCATAAAAAATGTAATGTAACCATAATGAAAAGGACTAATTTTGTGTTTCTCAGTGAAATTTTCGACTTTTTACTATAACCTCAAGTTAATGTCTTGATAAAGGGAATAAACATTTTCGAAAGGTCGACCATATAACAAAGAGTATTCTTTAAACAACAGCCCAGCAATTTTGACTGCATCCCCAACATTATTTAATGAAGTTAAGCTGCTGGAAAATACATCCATGAAAATCAAAAGATAAAAATACTTTCTGATCATTCCCATATTGATTTCAATTCAAGAGCCACCGGTGGCTCTTATCAAACTCGTTATTACTATTAGTATTTATCCAAGGAAGCCACATTTCAAACAGATAAACATTTTAAGTAATCATAACTGCACCAATAACAAATTTCAACACTCAAATCGCGATGAGTTCTGAACTGAACACGACGGCGATAATATTCCCCGATTTCTATTCGTCACTGTAATATGACTTCAAATTTAATTTTATGACTCTTCAGCCAATCATGAAACTTGGTTAGTGAAAATAATCCAATACGAACCGCCAAGTCTACGGTCCACGTGGACTAGTTCGTGGACTATTGGTATTTTTGGCCTTTGAGAGTGCCGTCACCTTCGAATATGCACAATATCGTGTACTTCGACTGTGTAAGTCTTATTACTAGACTTGTTCGTAACCACCCCATTAAGTTACTTCACTTATGCACAATTGTCGGTTTTGGAATGAAACATAATTACCAATTTTATTCGTAATATCATAAGTCACGGTAAACTAATCGTGACTCAAACACATTCGATAAGTTTCACATACTCATATTACAGCTTTTTGGTGATAAAATTTATGCGAAGTATTGCTGGGACCAATATCATTGTGAACTGGTAATGTTTATAATTTACTCCTCAAGCTGTTCACAATCCGATTGCTGATTGATAACGCCTAGGATGTTATCGTATTCAATAAAAAAAAGTCGCAAGGATTTCATTAGTATATAGAAGTGCGAAAAGGACGAAAAAATATATAAGTGCATTTTTCGATGCAACCAACTGATCTTCAGCCTTTCCCGTTTCAGTACATGTTCACATTTATTGATTTATTCATTTATTTATTTTTTCACCATAGTGTGCGCTGGTCAGGCCCTATCCCCCGAAGCCCCGATACATTCGGGAGGGCGCGCCAGCATAATCAACCAATGATCACTCCCCACACCGTGGGGTAAGTGATCATTGGGTCCGAGAATCATGTGCCCTGAGCAAACGCAGTGAGCCAAGAATGACAGCCTTCTGCATCTGTGCGGCTAAGATCTCTGCCTTAGTGCGGCAAGCCGGTATGATTTTGAGATTCGAGAGTAGAGAAGACATCATTCCACCAAGGACTCCAATAATCGGAACGACCATCTTGACAGAGTGATCTGGATAGAGTCTGCGGAGTTCGAAGAGAAAATCTCGATATTTTATCCGTTTTTTCTTCTCTTTTCTGACGATATCCGTCTCTGTTCTGTTCTCCAAACATTTGTTATGAAATTGAAAGATATATCATTCACAGAAACACCACAAGAAATGAGTGGAAGCGCATTCATATAAAATTTCAGAAACATTGAAATCTAGCATTGTAATGGAGTAGTTATCAAAGGTTTGGATTAAAAACAGTCGTATGTAACTGTCAGCCTATCCAGTTTCACTAACAGAATCTTCATAAAAAGCATCTGCCATGAAAGACCTTCTTTTTCTTTTCACTCGTAGGGCTGAAGTAAGCATAACATCGGACCCTGAGTTTACAGAGAAGACGAACATCGACTAAATGACCCTAATTGCCTTTCAAGTAACATCGAATTGGGAGAAAAAGCTTCTTGGTTCTCCAATTCTTGTTCTTGTAAACAAACCTAGCAGCCCAGGTGGTGCAACCAGAAAGCGACTCATCGTCTCCTCAAGAGCGGGATATTTCATTCTGCCTTGCCTTGTACGGAATTCTTGGGCATTGGGAGAAGCATCAGGAGAAGAAACCAACTCCCCCTGAGCGAATGTTTATGATGATTTATGAAAACCTGAAGTGAAAAAGCCCTGCAAGGCGGAATCTAATGTATCAACCAATCAACTAAAATCTCTTCAGTATGACACTATGATTGCCGTATAATCCACAGATATAATTCCTTGGCTGCAAAATACGACTTGAATAGCTACAGCCCAGCAGCGGGGGGGCTGAAAATTCCCCTACCGGGTTAGGTGTCCCAGTGTGGATGAAAAACCTCCTGGATGATGTCTCATCCTAATAGTCACATACAGATCTTTCGAAATGATGGACCTTTTTTCCTATTATGGAACGACCAAGTGCTTTCTCTATAACATCGGATCAAAATGAAAGGTTTCTCAATTCTACAACACTTAACAAACCCAAGTGACTACGTGATGTAATCAGAAAGCAACTCATCGCATCCTCGAGAGCCAAGAGCAGAATATCAATATGCTTTGCATACAATTATTGAGAAGCAGTAGCAGAATCTGCATCAGGAGAGGAAACGAACCCCATCTGAATATACGACTATGCTCGAACAATGATGATCCATACAAACCAGTGGTGAATAAGCCCAACATAATTGAATTCAATATATCGTCAATTAATGCTGACTGACAGAGACCCCGATATTGACTAATCGAGTGAAAGCTATTCAGTATGTCATCATGGTTGCCAGGTTCATAGGTATGTTTTCAGAGCTACTCCTCATGGCCTAGATACCTCCAGGTTTCGGAGTCACATGGCTGGAGAGTGCAGTTAATAGCCTGCAGATAGAAGGGATCTTGCCGATATGCATCACAGGAGCCCTACCTCCCAAGCCACACATTTGTGTTACCTATCTATCTGACCCAGGTGGCCACAGACAAACATTCAGGTCCTCCCAGATTAAGGAGAAATGTACTATGGTCTGTCAGTCTTCGAGTGGACCATTTTTGAAACCACTTGAAATATTCTGAACTTGAAAATATTGTGCTTAGTGAATCCGATTCCCTTCTCTTCAGGAAAAAAAAAACATATTTTGTATCTACATTTTTGTTTTCCAGTTCAATTCCGATTTTATTACTGCTATGGCCGTGATTCGTCATGCGGATCTTCACTCTAAGCACGCAGACACCTATTTCTACCAGTTTTCCTACAAGGGGCATCTTAATGGATTGCTGAAACCGCTAAAGCGACCTCCAGGTAAGATGCATTTTCATATACTTCGTTATCAATAAATAAGGTTGAAGGCAAAATACATTCACAATGTTATATTGACATTTTGGTTTTTTTGCATGGATTTTTGTTGTGTTTTGGTTGGTTTCTGGATTTTGGCGTGGTCTTCTTTAGTTACAATCTCCAAACGTTTCAACTGCTACGGTAGCAGTCATATTTAGTGGCATTGTCGAAGTACTCTTCTTGACGTATCAACTGAAACGTATTAGTTGACATATCAGTTGACACGGCAAAAACAGTACTTCGACCACGCCACTGAAGATGACTGAGGCAGTTGCAGTTGAAACGTTTGGAGATTGTAACCAAAGAAGACCACGACAGAACCCGGAAATCAACCAAATCATTGACGCAAGTCGTGAAAGTCTATATTCCCAAATGTGTCTGTATGTATGTTTGAACGTGGTAAACTCAAAAACTGCAGATTGGATTTTTTTACAGTTTTCGCCAATGTCCGAAATGATTAGAGGGGAGTTTTTTGTGTATAATTTATAAACTAACACACTTTATTGTATGATGTCCACTGCAAAGGGTTTTAAAAAAACGGCGACAGGTGTTTCGCTATACAATAGCGTTAAATAAAGTTACTTCTTAATTACAACTATTGTATACTAGGTATCACATATCACCTATTTTTATACCTACTTTCTAATGGATGGAACTACCTTTGAAGGTCAGGTATGAATTCATTTACTAACGAATAAATTTAATTTTCCAAAATACCGTAAATATACTCAAATTTTCGTACCTGGAAATGAACAGATTTAATAATGGCGACTTATTCAGTCCAGTTTGATCGTTCATAACATATTGAGAGTTTTGAATTTGATTATTTCCATACTTTCCGATAGATTGAATTTCAGACCTATCTTCTGGAAATGGAGGGGATTGAATTCATATTTGAACTCATGTCCCTCTGTGATCAAATGAGTGGCATATGTGGAATATATTTTTTTATTCTGGCAGATATTTCTGTGTTCCGTTATGCGGGCTTTGAACGTTTTTTCAGTTTGACCTATATAAGATATTGGACTCACATGATAATTTATTCTCTCCAGATTTTTTCTGAAACTGAACTTAGTGTGCATGCCTAAGTTGTTGTTGGTTTTGAAAGCAATATTTATACCTTTGTTGTGCAAAAAATTCAAAATAATCGTAGTGGGTTGGCGTAAGTAGGGTGAGGTTCTATAACTTTCATCCTCATTTCTTCGAATTGGGTAACTTTCTTCAAAGCTTGGCTGTATAACTTTTTGATAATAGAGAATGTATTAGACTGCTATCGTAATAATTGCTGACGGCTATTTGTTTTATTATGTTCAGTTCTTTATTGAACTCCGCATCTTACAGACATTTATCATATTGTTGAATGCTTCTACTTTGAGGGTGGGTAGACGAATTATGAATAATAATATATGTATGTGCTGGTTCATGATTAATAGAAAAATCACGTTTATTGTTGACTTCATTACTCTCAAGTCCAAAAAGTTTTTATAGAGTTGTACTTTTCCATCTCCATGGTGGATGTGATAGGGGGGTGGAAATAAGCGATGAAATCCATAAACTCAGTCTGTTGGTTCCTGTGAAAGATACCAGGATATCATCCACATATCTATACCAATACTATCTCATTGAATTGGAAGTTTCTGTGATAAACAAACCGTAAGAAAGTCTAATATTTTCTCTTTCACTAGGTACCGGATTAATGGACCTTTCTTCCAATAGATTCTCTACAAGATTAATCGTTTCATTCGGAGATTCATCAGATTCTTTACATCGAATGAAATCAATTTAGCATCATCCCGGAAGTGCAATATCTTCAATTGCATTAATCAAATAGTATGAATTCTTCAAACTGAATTGTGATTTAAAATTAGTGTGATTTTGAATAATTGCGATGAATTTTTCGGATATTTTAACTGAAGGAGCTATGACAAAAGAAACTACCGGTCTAATCGGGTATTTATCCTTGTATAATTTAATTAACGAATACCTATAGTTTAGGTGGTTGTGGGTTCATGATTAAAGATCTGAATTTTTCAGTTTTATCCATGACACAATGAATATTTTTCAAAGTTTCCTTGACTTCTTTCTGATAAAAATGGGTGAGGTCGTTTCTGAGACTATCGTACGTGCCAGCATTTAAATGGTCTTCTCTACGTATTATTGATAGCTATAACTGTTAGTCATGAACCCACAACCACCTAAACTTTATTCGTTGATTAGATTCCACAAAGATAGCAAAGGTAAAAGTTCAGTTTCAGAAAAATTGAGAGTGTATAAATTATCATGTGGGTTGTGTTCGATTTTTTATATAGGTCAAACTGAAAGAACGTTCCAAGCCCCCATAAAGAAACACATAAATAGTTTCCAGAATGAAAAAATAAATTCCATATACGCTCATTTAATCACAGAGGGACATGAGTTCAACCATGATTTCAAGCCCCTCCATTTCCAGGAGGTAGGTTTGAAACTTTACCTGTTGGAAAGTATGGAAATGAACACATTTGAAAACTCTTAATATCTCATGAACTATCGAACTAAAATGAATAATTCGCCATTATGGAATCCGTTCATTTTCAAGTAAGAAAAGTTAAGTATATATACGGTACTTTCGAAAATTTAATTTACTCATCAGTTAATGAATTCATACCTGACCTTCACAGGTAGATCCATTCATTAAAAAGTATGCATTGCAATTAAGTAATATGTTAAAGTATAAAATAATTGTGATTAAGAAGTAACTTTTTTAAGAACAAAAAAGTTCCAAATTAAAACGGTTTATTACTATTTACTCAAAACTTCAGTTTTGTGACATAACACCTTTATCCACTTGGGTCTTCAATTGTCACATATAATGTGATAATAGAAGAGCTATTACGATAATAATCCTTGACGAATCAAATACGTTAGTTACTTAAGCATTGCATGCACATTATAGTTGCCCTCTACGTCGTACAATTCAAGTTATTATCATGTAAGAAGTCATCAATCGACAAAATAAATTCAAATATGGTCCGAACACTCTCAACCCAATTTTTTTTACGATGTCAATGTACTTTTTCCAAAAAACATAATATTTATGTTCAAATATTTTTATGTGGGTTTCTCTCTTGTGTTTGCCTATACGGAGTTTCGGAAGCCTCTTCATTTACTCGATATAAGACTGGCCGCACATTTTTTCTACGCCAGTCGGTCAAAAAATTCAATTTTTTTTCTGAAAACCCAACCTTCAATATGGAGACGATAAAATTTAGTGGTGCAATTTGTAAACGTCAGCAAAAATGATACATATAAAAAAATAAATATTTCGAAATAGAAATTCGAACTATTCATCACTTTCAACTACCTACACAGTAGGTTCTGGTGAATGCCTGACGTAAAACAACTAATTTCCTGGCTAATATCACGGTGCATATTTAGTTATATCCGACAGACATGAATGCAAAATCCCTCACAGGGATTAGTCTCGCAGATGTTTCTAGTTATGCCATGCTGAAATTATTCGAGTAGATCACCTACAGACCGGTTTCGAGGTAATACCCCTCATCAGTGCAGGAAAATTCCCACCAAAAAGTGCCTGTGATCCGATTAATTTCAATGCGGCTGAAACCTCTTCAGAGAAATATTGTTAACTAGTAACAGCTCCATATTGATTTATAAAAAGGTTAGATGATGAAACTCATTAATTTATGGGTCGCGAGTAGACGTGTTTAAATATGCGCTGATATTCTCGAGTTTAACGGTTGTGACACTGTGAGTATCATTTTGATTTCTACACCAGTGAATGGGTTGAGAAATTTTGCATATAAACAACGAATTGAGAGACATTACAATCTAGATAGGAGAGTGACAATTAGTTAATTTGTAAAGTAGAGATTCTGAACAACAGGTCACGACGAAATACAAAAACGCGAGCAAAAATTTCCTAATCGCACAACAGTATAAAAAACTTCTACAATACATTTCTTATCTATCCCAACTAAAGCGCCCTTTACACTGCCGCTTGTTAAGAATGTCTCTCGGACGGAATGATATACAGAGTATTCTGCAAGAAATTAGACAAAATAGAGCGGAACTGAAGAATGCAATTGATGCCAGCGAAGCCCGAATTCAAATAAGGATTCAAGAATCACACGAGAGAATTAAGGAACTAGAGAACGAAAATAATTTTCTAAAAAATAAAATCGAAGAATTGGAAAAAGAACAAAAGTCTAATAATATTATCGTTTTCGGATTGAATAAAGAACGACACGAAATAACATTTGAGTATCTTAAAGACGAGCTGAAAGCTCTACTAGAAGTAGACATAACCAGAAATCAAATTAAAAACATAATTTGTCTAGGATCTCGAANATATATTCCCCTTTTTTCCTTTGAAATAATCAACTTTCATTCACTTTCTCAGACACACGAAAAAACAGATTTTTTTTTACCACCCTGTATTGAAGTAACGGAGATTACGCTGAAATATGGGAAGCCTCTAAGTATCATCTAACTCCAAACCAAATTTCGATACCATAATATTCCTCAACTCAAAGATATCAGCATTTTTAGAGGTCATGACTTTCGAAGAAAAAAATTGAAATTAATTTTTATTTCGAAAACGGTAACAGATAGGTATAGGGAAACATCAAGAAAAGTTATTGGTTTCCTGATTGATTCGGCCGTTACTTAATAAAGATCCATAGTAATTTCATAAACTACACCTCACGATTTGATCTCCACAAACTTTATTTGAGAAATATATCACGACATGTTTCGCTAACACAATAGCTTCTTCAACAGTGATTTGAATACTACAAGTTGCTTCTTACGCTAATATTTATATACCATGGTGAAAAACAATCAGAGAAACAAATACAGAGTATAAAAAATGACAAAGGTGAATTATTGAATGGAAAGAGGGAAATTGCAAACGAATTCAATAACAGATTCATTGAAACTGGTAAAACATTGGCTGAACAAATTATTAGGAACCCAAATTTCAAAACAAACACAACACGACTAATAAATTCTATAAGTATCCGTCCTACCGATACGACTGAAGTAAAGACTCTTATCAATGAACTGAAAAATAAAAAATCCGTAGGGGAAGATCAAATACGAGCAGAAACACTAAAACAAATCTCAGGCAATATCGTTATTCCTCTCACTCATACCTTAAATCGATGTCTAGATAAGGGGATATGGCCAACTTCTCTCAAAAAATCAGTCGTCATCCCGATACACAAAAGTGGGGACAAAAACATTGTTACCAATTATAGACCCATTTCACTGATAACGAATCTATCAAAAATATTCGAGAAATTATTGAAAACCAGACTCTTATCTTTTATAAATAAATTTAAACTTCTNATGTAAAAGTAAACAAAACTTCAAGAAAAAGTTAAAGAAATATATCAATGAAAATGAAAGGAATATGATCTCCCAACTATTTGAACCCTAGTGGAATACAACCAATGTATGTCATTTAACTTTTTTGTATTATTTGAATTGTATTCTTTATAGAATTTAAGCTGACTATATATATTAGTTTTAGAGTTGTATATTTTTAAAATTTTACCATTTGATAATTTTTATACATATATTTTTCCTTTTTTATTTGTCTATTTATCTGTTAATTTCAAGGAAACAAGTACTTTGTACTTATCCTTAATCACTTGTTCACTCCATGCAATTGTATTATTCATATATATATTCATATATTGTTTTTTTTACTGTGAATAAAGTGTCTATTATTATTACCATAGCTAACTACAATTGAGACTACCTCCATCAAATTACCTAACCCTCTACAATTCTTATATACCTGAGGCACCTCTTCAATTATGATAACCTGAAGCATATTACCTCACATCTACATCAATAATGATACTTCCTGGTTTTTTCAAGAAAACTAGTTCAATGAAAGTGATGATCAGACATATACACCCGATTTTTTGAATTTGGATGTTCTGTCTTTATTATTTTTACCTAACTTTCCCAACGTATTTCTTGTTCTATATGCAATGGAAATTAATAAACTTAAAAATTCAAATGTTCTAATAAATGACCAACTGGATTTGAATAGATCACCATTATTGAACTTGTTTTCTTAAAAAAACTGAGGAAGTATTGTTATTGATGTAGAAGTGAGGTAATATGCTTCAGGTATGTAATCATAATTGAAGAGGTACCTCAGGTATATAAGGATTGTAGAGGTTCAGGTAATTTGTAGTTACCTGTGGTATATAAATATTAGCGTAAGGAGCAACTAGTAGTATTCAAATCACTGTTGAAATAGCTTCTGTGTTAGCGAAACATGTCTTGATATATTTCCCAAGTGAAGTTTGTGGAGATCAAATCGTAAGGTGTTGTTTAAGAAAAGTTATTGGATAATTGTTGTAGATTCTAAAAACGATATCACATAATGGGTGTTGTATTTGATAATTCAAAGTTGCTACTACTTTCTAAGCCACTCTAATTTGAAAACCAATGAGTAAACTAAATCGATTTGATAATTGTGTCTGCGTTGTGTTATTATGTCCTATTTGTATAATCATTTAGATTTTTCTATCTATAGTGTTAGCAGATGAAGGTGGCGAGACTACTCTGTGCAACACTGAATTGTAGGCTGCTAATTTAGGGTATAACTATTTTGCAGGTCTGCAGGTCAACAAATTGTTCTCAGTAGACAGTGCTTTCATAATCACGTAGGAGGATAGAAATTTCTGAAGGTCGGGTCTACCAGACATGAATCTCGACCACGTTAATCATTTTAGACAGGAAAAACTTCGAACCCCCACCCTTTGAGTATGGAAAAATTCCACATTTTTCATTAAATTGAAAATAAACCTTGCAGGTCGGGTATGCCAAACATAAATCTCGATCAGGTTGATCATTTTCGCAAAAAAAATGTCAACCCCCACCTTTTGAGTATGGAAAAATTCCACATTCCTCATTAAATTGAAAATAAACCTTGCAGGTCGGCAGAAATTCTTGCAGGTCGGGTAAGTCAACCAGGTTAATCATTTTCGACAAAAAAATGTCAACCCCCCCTTTGACTATGGAAAAATTCCACATTCCTCAATGAATTGAAAATAAACCTTGCAGATAAAATTAAATGGAAAGAGGGGTCTTATGACACATCTTTTTGAAGCTTCTCGCAAATACTTCACAACCCTAGAATTTAATGGCAATATTTTCAACTACTACAAAATGGCGGAACTTTCAATAATTGCCTGAATTCATTGACATTCAACTACATAATTTTTTGAGTTGGCCCGTTCAAAAAATAAAAGGGAATAGGGGAACTTGAAGAAATGCTCTGTATGTTCATTATATACTTATTCATTTATTCTACCCACTGGGTCCCAGCGCCGAAACTTTATTATTATAATTCGTTAGGAAATAACATGGGATTGATACTATCTCTTGTTTTTGATGAATCTGCAGTGAACTGGAGTGACATTTTTACCGCTTTTCGAAAGTAGTCAAGACGTCTCTTCAATAAATTAGTAAATCAGTAGTTGCAGACTTGCCTATGGAAAATATTGATCTATTTGAGCAATACAAAGATAATTTTTCTGCAACAAGGCAATCCGCAAGCTTATTCTTCTATAATTAATCACATCGGTCTTATTCCCGGATTTGTAGAATCTGATTGTTTTTTTTTCGAAATTTTGATAATATTCCACTAAGAATGATTGCTCATATTGTTCAGCTCTAGAGACCTCTAACTCTGTTGAGAATCTGTTTTTCCGTTAACCACCTGTCGCCACCCTACGAACGACAACTCTCAAAAGGACTAACGAGGTCTTACCTTTTAACATGTGATTCCTAAGTACTTACTTTCTTTTTATCACTTTCCATCAATTCATTCAATTCCACACTGTGATACTTCTTCCTCAGTTAACTAAAATATTTTTCAGGTCTTGGAAAATGTGGACATTGTGATGAACTGACATTCTTATACAAATACAGATGGGCTCCAGATGTTGTTCCCTCACCTTCCGATATACTTACTAGAAAGCGCCTAGCCACATTGTGGGGAAATTTTATCAAATATTCGTATGTATACAGGTTTCAAAAAGTATCTAGGATAAATTGAAAGGGGTATATATTTAGGCTTGGCTTCCTCCTTATCCATCTTCATGCAAAATGATGTGAGAATCTTCCATAGAAAGGGGGAAAGCAATTCATTTCAAAATAAACTTTATACAAAGATGTGTAGTTCATGCAAAACAGTGACTTTCAGAAATAAAACTGGTAGGCAAAGCCCTCTCCGAACAACTACTTTCATGTTAATATTGTATTACCTGAAAAACAAAATACCTTCGAAACAACTACTTTTATATGAACACTGAATTATACAAAAAACACTTTTCTCTATTCAGTTTGTATTCCAAACATTCGTTTTGGATTTGAATCAGATATCATTCACAGAATTGCTACACAATACAATAAATGAAAGAGACAAAATCTCAGTTATATGGAACACAAAGAGAGTTGAAGTAAAACCATCAGGCACCTGTGCAACGTCTTCGACTTGGATACAAAGTCGTTGGTCTGCATGAGATGAAAGGGGCAACCCTGAGCATGGCACAATGCACATCTCCGGAATAATAATCATTATTCCGACTCCCACCCCGGAGTATGCTTGTGGAATTGTTTCTTGTCTCTGTCTGCAGGTGACGCAGTGGACATCCTACTGAAACAACTGCAGAGAGATTCTATGACTAACTGGAATTATTTTCATTTGGGCGTGATACTCAGACGGTTCACACCGTTCTGAAGAGACCATGCCCGGTATCACCGTAAAAAAAGTAAACAGAAGTAAATTCACTTCCGTCACCTCGGCCGTACACGGACCACATATTTGCAGTTGAAGCAACCACAACATTGTGGCCACGTTGATTGCATTTCGCGGTTGACCCAACCACATTTTTGTGGTCGACTTGCGGTCATATAAACCACACTTGTAGTTGAGGCAACTGACATCAAAAATTGAATGCTGTGAGACCAATATGAGAAAAAGTACACGATGGTGTACGCGGTTGGTTACGACTGCAAGTTTGTGGTTAGTGTACGGCGGCTGCCGCGATGACATTTCGGCGGAGATCAGCAGCAAGTTGACTGCAGACGCCCTTTTTGACTTTTATGTGTACGTGTACGTGTAGTACAATATTTCTTATGGGCGGCTTGAGTTCGCTGGAACGCGACTGCAATTGTGTGGTCGATCCGACCGCAAAATGTGGCTCGTGTACGGGCGCACTCAGTCTCTTTGATGTTTTGGGTCGAGATTTCATTTTTTCATGGCATGTGGCGGGGCAGGAGGGTGTCGGCGAAGAGCTGTTATGCACCTCTGCACGAGGTTCGATCAAAAAATATGTGACCATGATCTGACTTCATCATTGCTATGAGGAGCTCCCAATAAATGTCTCATATGATTGTGAACTGTTTAGGAATTGATAAAGAATAAGACAAGGTGGTGAAATAAACGTATGTATATATTTCATATAGTGAGATTATACAATTCAGAACAAAAACTTATGCTAATATATTTAATTGATTTTTTTTTGTTTTCAAATTTCTATTGGCAAATTTCAAAGTATAATAAATTCTTACCCTTGTGAAAATAGAAAATAAATAATCCAAAGAAAAATTATCACAATCAGTGGCACATAAATTGTTGAAATGATTAAGAAATTCTGCTTCTAGATGAATGATACATTGTAAAACTGATACCGGAGGCATATATAAACTTCCAAACTGTTTGGCTACTGTATTACTATATCCCTTGAAATGAATATATACCTACATTTGTTTCATTCAGTATCGTACTAGCCGCCGTGGC